TTATATAAACATAAATATCATGGGGTTTCTTTACAGGAACTCAATTTTCTTCTGTTTAGAATGAAAGGGAATTCAGTTTGTGTTGTCTATTGGTATATGTGAGCAAAAATTCATTATTGCTATATGGAAGATTGTATCTTTGATGAAGGAGGGGTAACACTTTTCCACCCTTTCCCCAGTCATTCCTTCAGGAAATGATATTCAAATTTCATCATGGGCAAGTGAGACACAATTAAAAATGTTACAGTATTTTCAGGATTTAGATATCGAACTTAGTTCTAAGTAAATGATTCTTGTAAGATCTCACAGTTCTTACGTTCTTGTAAGATCTGTTAGAACCTCTGACAATCTTGGTTGTCCGTGATTAATTTACTTAGGGAGGCAAACAGTTTCATGTGTCAATGTCATGTGGAATTTATGAAGGTGAAATAGGCAATCTTAATGTGGTAGGCTAAGTCCACTTCATGTGTAATTTTAGGCAGTACATGGAATACACAGATAACTAACTTCTCTGTTGTCTACTTAGGAGGAAAATGTTTTATGCATCTGCCACGCACTTGAGCTAATCACCACACCAAGAAAAAGTTGTAGAGCTTAGTGGAGCTGCTGGGTAGGGAACCAAGTATTGTGCTAAAAACTTGGGTTTTTATTATTTCTTGGTGCATTCTAGCAGATTGTCTGTATTCTATTACCTCAGTTTACGTAAAGATGCACTTGGACTCTTGGCCAAGTGCATATGCTAGTGTATTCTAATCGTGTTGAAACTATTAAATATATTGTCTGTCTTTTGTAACTTTTTCCACTGGAATGGCTAAGAGAAGGCGTTTTCTTAAACTGAAGTAACTTATTATTCTGGAAGATAAGGATGCTTTCTGAAAACTGAACATGTTGAAACTTGTTGTGCCACTGTTCTTGTTCAATGACAGAATCTAGATCAAGTTCTTCTTAAATTCAAGAAGACCTTCTATTAAGAAAAGTACAGTAACTGTGAGACGAGAAAGTTCTCTGTACACTAATTTTGTAGGTAGGGCTGAAGGGTAGCTTGTATTTGATAAATATTTCGTTCTTGCTTTTCATGGTTTTAAATCAGGGTAATTTCCTATAGTTCTGCAGATAACTATCTTACTGCATATAGGGTTTTTCCCAGCATTAATATTAGTGTTTCTTAATAGTGTTCTGTGTTATCTTTGAATTATGCTAAAGCTTTTGGTATTACTAAATATTAGAAGTAAATGTTTCTTCTAACAACTGTCAGGTGCTAGATAGCACTTCTGAAAAACATGAGCATGGGGAGCTCAAGGTCTGCAACTATGAATATTTATTTTTCAGGACTGAGTTCTCACAGAAAAGCATTCCGTAAAAATCTCAGCACTTAAAAGAATATGCTCAAAAGAACAATCTAATTTATGTAGGATCTCTGAAGTTTTTCACCAGTGCATATGAAGATGACTCTTGCATCCTGTAGCTGTTTGACAAGCATTATTTATCAAGTACAGAGGAAATTGATTAACTGTGGAGCAGAATTGTGTAAAATTGAATTCAGAACCGTTTTCTGTTTTTTCATAATAAAATGATTACTGAAAGAATTCCATCTGAAGACTGTTGAAAGCTGGCTGCAGTTTATGATATAACGGATAAAATCTGCATCCTTGGCCTTCCAACAACCTTTACGCCAGCAGATGGTGGGCGTAAAGATGTCATTCATCATTTATTTACAATGGGCTTTATTTATTCTAGTGTCAACAGCTGCCCCAGGGAGCGGGTTATTGAATTCAAATGTGAAGCTCTGGGTTATTTGCTTCCTTTCAAATTTGTCTTCAGAGCTTAGTTGCTAGGAGTCCATTCTGTGCTCTAATAATGATTCATTTATTGTGAAGCCATTCAGTAAATTGGGTTGTCAGGGATTGCCAAAAAAGGTTTCGAGGTCTTGTTCCGATTTTCTTTTTCTTTCTTTTTTTTTTTTTTAAAAACAGCACTGTGCTGTAGTTGGTGTCTTCTCCTTATGTGCCTTCTCTTGCTAGTGTCAGAGACTTTGTCCCCAGTTGTCCCCTCTCTGATTTCCCTTCCGTACTGCTTCTTATCCCTGTCATCTCAAAAGTAGAATTCTATGATTCTGTGATTCTAAGTTTGTGGTTTTCAGCACCAAAAAATAAATCTGAGATATGAAATAATGAAACTTTGTCTTCCACAGGCAGGGCAGGAGTCCTTCCGTTCCATTACAAGGTCATACTACAGAGGGGCAGCAGGGGCTTTATTAGTGTATGACATTACAAGGTGAGAATACCGAGGAGGTGTAACGGGATTAAAATTACATGTCTTTGTAGAATTGTGCGATGGTATATAGTAGTGTTAAAATGTCTGATTTAGTTTGGCTTTTTGTATATTTGTAATCTAATGTTTTGCTAACTTTCCTTAAATGCTCAAAATAAACATATAGCATATGTAACCTATATACTTCCAATTTTCTCTGTATGGTGGTTGAGAAAAGTATTTTTATAAACTATTTGACCATGAACCTCTGGATTACCTTTATTGAGAAAGACCTTGAAATATTTCATTAATTCCTTTCTAGTGTTTTTATTACTATGAGCTATAATTTTTCTTTAATTATAGCAGAGTTTTTACTGAAGTGCCATTCTGCAAAGGAATGGAATAGTAAAACATCAAAGCTTGGTTAAATAAAAATACCAGGAAACTTCTACCATTGCTGTTTATGGGGTTGGGAAAATACAGGTCTTAGTGTGATTTTTGTAGCAGCTGTTCAGAAGTCTCTGTACAACAACTTATCTGCAAAACTGTGGGTGCTGTGGCTGGTTTATGAAAATGTGCAGGCTCCAAAATCCTATTAGGGTGAGTGGCTCCCTTTGTGGATCTTTTGGTCTTGTTGCTGAGTTAAGCAACAACTTTTACTAGAGATTTCCTAGACGTTTTTCCTTTTGTTCCCCGTTTATTTTTAAATATTGGGAAGCAACGTATTCTTTTCATTGGATTTGCAGCAAATGAATCTTTGATTCATAAATAGATGATTTTACTCTTGTGAAATCTGAAACACACTTTACAAGCATGTGATTTAATATTTAGTGTACACATTCTGAAAATCTGTAACATACCATATTTGTGTACCTTACTTTAAAAGACTTTGGTGCTGAATTCATTATTCAGTTTATAAACTCATGAAAGTGGTCAACCATTTTCTGCCTACAGTAGAACAAATATTACTTATGAGTATGTGATTATTTGTACTGTTGTTTGAATTGGTTGAGGCTGTTAGGGACTTTTCAATTCCGTTCAGCAGATTTTATATGTATATAAAATTACAGATTCTTACAGCTATAAGAATCCTCTTTACTCTTTGTAGCAAACAGGTTTTCAATTACTTTTTATGCAGAGTTCATCAATGCTTCTTGTTTACTAAATTTTTGTTTGCCTATTCTCCCTCTCACAAAGGGATTACTAGCTTTTATCCCTGGAGCATGTGTACTAATAAATGAGTTGGTTACTCAAGTAGAGAAGCTGACCAATCTTGAAATACTGTTTTTAATTTTCATTCTCTTCCATACTTAGGAGGGACACTTTCAACCACTTGACAACTTGGTTAGAAGATGCTCGTCAGCATTCCAATTCCAACATGGTTATAATGCTTATTGGAAATAAAAGGTAAAACTTAACCAGTTACTATTTTGTAAGTGTTAAAGATTTATAACTTCTCTGGATTTCAGCTTTTGTGTTTTCTTATTTGTAGGCAGTATGTTAACTTTAAATTACTTTCCGTTACTGGACATAGTTCTATGGTGAATCTAAAACCTTTCCTTTTCTAATTAGACTAATACAATGTGCAGCACATGTAGATCAAATACCTTATGTTCTGAGTACCTTTTTTAGAAGTAATTTTATTTTAAAAGGATTGACTGAATGCATGAAGTCATGGATTATATTAATTATTTTTCTTGTGACAGTTTTTTACATCTGGAATCACCATTTAGAAGCATCTAGATCTCTCCCTTATACAGATAATGACTCCTAATTTTAGGTGTTCTAAAGTGCTTTAGTTTTTGGTTAAGAATCACAGCAGAGAAAATGTCATTTAAAAAAAAAAGCAGCCCATACAGCCGAATTCACTTCAAAAACTTTTCTCAAATGTAACCTCAATGGTTATATGAGACATTTCTGAATTCTGAGCCTGTTTCATATTCTGTGTGTTTTAGCTGGAGTTGGGGAGGGAGAATGCTTTTTGACCATTTCCTGATGAGTTCAGGCTGCTCTTAGACACTGGGTGATGAAAACACACCTAAAAGTTTTGGAAGTGTGTTACCCAATTTGTAAATGATTATTTACTTGGTCTTCTCATCAGCTAGACTGTCCAAAGTTCTAAAATGGTTCCCTATTGATGCTGAGACTTTGATCTGTATTGAAGGTCTTTATAACAACACATCAGTGAATACATTAAGTTTATCTGTAATTTTTCTAGTTCTTGATCTGGTGAACTGTAGCATCACATCTAGGTTTTTTTGCTGGATGTAGGGTTTTTTCCAAATATCAAAAGCATCATCTCAGAATTTAATAACCCATTAGTTATGGGCCTTTACCTAATTGACCTTAACTTGTCTCCATGCCTCAGCAATTCTTGAAGGTAAAGATGCCAACTGAAATAATGGTGTGTATGCTTGTCCCTTAAAATTTAATGAACAGCCAGATCATTTCTTAGATACTACTGAGAAACAGCCTCAGTGGTAAAGAGAGTCTGGTTTTGCTATCTGGCCTGTTCACCTCTTATTTTCTTCTTCTTCCCCCTTCCATTTTCCTCCCTCTGACCCCCACCCTCTGCTTCCCCCTGAAAAACATGTTAAGCATTAAGTAATTGTGAAGCTTGTCCACATTTTTATACATAATCTGGAAAATTATTAACGACCTTCTTTTTAATTGAGGAATGTGATAAGCATAGTCTTCACAAATTAATATAAAAATGTAATCTCTTTTACTAAATGAAGCTTTGGTGATGTCCCTGACCAACTGTTCTTATGCTTATGTGAGTAAAAATATGGCACTGAGAGAAACAGTAGAGTGTACTGTTTACTTGAGATAAGTGCTTCATAAGTTTGCATACTTAGTTGACATCTGTAACTATTCCTGATTTTTCTTGGCTGTTAAACTAAATTTTTTATGTCTTGCATTCTGCTGATGCAGACTGTACCACATGATTGTATGTTATAATATGCTACTTGCAGCTAGCTCAGTAATTCCCAGTTACAACTAGGTTTTATTCAAACAATAAACTTACTTAAATTATGTATTTTAAGTTACAGATTAAGGTGCTACATGAAGTAAAAGTTAATTAATAAGCTTTTTAAATGGGATTATTTTCAAGCCTCAAAACGGAGGACGGGAAAGAAATTCCTTCAATTATATTGCGTTGTCCTGAAAGTGTGTTACAGGAGTTCTTACAGTAGGGCATGGATGGAAGGAAGAACATGTATACTAGCATAATATTTTTGAAGGAATAAATTTTGTTCTCATGAGTCCCAAAAGTGCACTTGGTATACGTTTGTAGTACTGACTTATTGCTGGATTTGAAGAGTGTTGAGAATTTAATCTGAAATATAATAGCTGTTTTTTGAAAACATTACAAATACTAGTGTTAAAACATGACAAATACTGTACTTAATCTTCTTTCCAGAACAAAACATAGCTATATTGATCTAGTAAGACCAAATGCCTCGAATTATTGGAATGGAGAGAGGAAGACAACTGTGGTTAGTAGAAGCAGTTAAAGCTCTTTAAGAATATGTTTAGATATCAGTAGGGAGTTTTGACTGGGTTATCACTGCAGTTTTCGATGCAGCTGCACTATTTCAAGTCAAAAGAGTTGTTTATTTCTGTTCTATCATGCAGATTAACACTAGTGAATCAAAGTTTTAAATAAGATATTTTTGAGGGTAGCATGGTAGTAGCAAATAAAGACAGTGCTCAAGTTCAAAAATACAATGTCAGATAGCTACTTCAGGGACATGAGAATGAACACCTTGTTAAGATATCTTAAGCCTGAGGCTGAGATACTGGGAACGCTTACATATAATGAACATCAGCTTTAACAATGTTTTGAGAAGACATTTCTTGTATCCTTATCTTCAAATGCTCCATGTTTAAATGATGTGCTGAATTGTCTTGATTCTATAACTCATCTGAGCTAGCAGTAGTTGTAAAAATAACAAAAACCTGCTTTACTGCAAAATAGATGCCACAGTGAGTATCGTTTATTTTTAGTATATATGTAATTACAAGTATGGCAGCACTGAAGCCCAGTATGATACTTTTTACTGGTATTCTGGCTGCAAATTAAACCTCTGTATTTGCAAGATATTTTTACATGCACAACTTAAATGAAACTTTATTTAAATATATATGTTATATTTATTATTTATGTATAAATGTAGCACTGTTATTGCTCAAGGTGTAATACACTTACAAAGAAGCTGTGTACTCCTTGTTCCTAAAGAAGCTTTAAAAAGTAAGCGTGAAATACTTACGTGTCTGTATGACTTACAGAAGCGGATTTGTCTTTAGTTGTCCAGTCGAAGAGGGTTTTTTTTTCTGTTCTTCTATGTAATATTTAACTTTCATCTAAACTGCTTGAAAAGCAGGAAACAAGATCGTGTAACAGTCACTTCAAGTTCTTCTGTTGTTAGAGGGCCAGGCCTGGAGTTCTAAAACCAAAATGCTAGCTTGTTGTGAGAGAACAGTTAATGTAGTTCAAAATAATTTATTTTTGCTTTTAAATCTTTTTATCAGAACAGAAGTTGACTGTATGAAGTTTTGTTACGGAATAGAAAAAAGAACTCTATTTTAAAAATTATTTTTAATAACAGTAAGACATCTTCTGTAAAACTCCCTTATGAGTTCAGCTTTACAGTGTGGATTGGTAGATAATATCACTCTTTTCTAGTATAATGTTTACCTAAAATGACAATGTCTAAAGTTAGCATTCAGGGAATAGCTAGATAAGTATACACGCATTCTGTTGAAAGCCATTTCATGAAGTCTTTGATAGATATATGTCAGCTAGAATTGATAGCTCAAGCAAGTGTGATGTCTGTGGCTACTCCATATACTGTAAGTGCAAGACTTATAGTAATTCTACTTTATGTAAGGGCTTGAGTAGATATTCAATGTACGTAAGTTCTAATGAGGGCTCTTGGCTTATAAGCATGTCTCTGAAGACTAATACTTACATGGACAGGTTAGACCACGCAACTAACTTGTTTTTTTTTCCATCTTAGTGATTTGGAATCTAGACGAGAAGTCAAGAAAGAGGAAGGTGAAGCATTTGCACGAGAGCATGGGCTTATCTTTATGGAGACATCTGCCAAAACTGCTTCCAATGTAGAGGAGGTAACTTTGCTTAATACTGGTATTTTAGTAAAACAGTTGTTTCGAATTGCACGTTGTTATTTTTCAGATATTATTCCTCTAGGTTTTGTATTCCTTAACTTGAATTAACTACTCATTAATTTATGTTAGAGAAAGACAATGTCTACGTTGTATCTGATTGCATGGCACTAATTATATAGTTGAGACTCTAGTAATGAACATACTTATTCTTTTTAAAAATATTTGGTCAGGGAAATGGTACTTCTGTCTGTCCTGAAATCTAAGAAGTAAGACTAGAATAGATTTGCTAGTCCAAAGCAAGCCAAGCTATTGGTATCTTTGGCAGATGTCAGTCTACCCTGTTCTAAAGACCTCTAATATTTCACAAGCTCTTCAGAGCCATCTATTGCAATGCTTTGGAATTTGTCATATTGTTGTCATCTTTCCCCTCCGCTAGCTAGCAGGAATCTCATTTGCTGCAATTCACATGTGCAATTTGTTTTTCTGTCCTCTACAGAGCTGCTGAAGAGGTCATTATCTTGGTTGCTGTAGTCTGCTATGTATTTGAATAAGTTTTTCAGTCTTTGCTACTTTAGAGTAAGGAACTTAAGCCTTTTGAAGCTTTGCTTATAGTTCATATTCCTGGACAGATATGAGTTCTTACATACCTCACCTTGATTTACTGCACGCCTTTCTTGAAGGTTGGTTGTGGTGGGTTGACCTCAGCCAGCAACTAAGTGCCCATCCAGTTGTTGGCTTACTCCCCCCATCCAGCAGGATGGGGAAAAGAACCAGAAGAGCCAAAGCGAGAAAAACTCGGGGGCTGAGATGAAGAGTTTAATGAATGAAGGAAAGAGGTGGGGGAAGAGTGACGGAAAGGCAGTCGCTCACAACTTCCCACAAACAGATTGATTCCCAGCCAGTCTCTGAGCAACAGCTACTTTGGAAAGACTGCCCTTTGGTTTTTATTGTTGAGCATGATGTCATATAATATGAAATAACCCTTAAGCCAGTTCTGGTCAGCTGTCCTGGCTGTGTCCCATCCCCCCCACCAGATTTTGCCTACCCCAAGCCTAATCACTGTGGGGGACAGATTAAGAAACGGAAAACCTTGACATTGTGTAAGCACTGCTCACCAGTAGCTAAAACATTAGTGTGTTGATAGCGTAAAACATTATCAATGCTGTTTTAGTCACAGATTCAAAACACAGCACCATGCAGGCTGCTGTAAAGAAAACTAACTCCATCCTAGCCAGACACGGTACAGTGGTGGACAAAGAGCTCCAGCTGAGACGTTAGTGCTATGTAAAGCAGAAAGGTTGCTTCACATGTCTTTCAGACCCATACTCAGTTCATACATCGCCACTTACTAACCCTTTTTTACAATAACATGGCATAGTTCAGCTTCTCATGCTACATAATCTGCCCTTACTCTTTTCCAAAATTGTCCTAAATGCAAAATGGTGGAAAACCATTGAAGTATTCATTTAATGGTAAAATTCATTTAGTTTTGAAATATTTAGTATTTTTTGAAAAGTAACAGTAAGAGTAACAAACAGCTTTCCCTGACTTCATTCTGGTTTGTTACTACCTGGCTCTAACATTTGACATCTCTCCATGTCAAAAAATACATTCTAGAGAACACGTTGTCCAGTACCTAATGCATCTCTGATTATCAGGAGGAAAATGAGCATAAAGTTCTCAAAAGTTCAAATAGAATCTTCTCCTGATGATACGAGTGATTGCTTGCATGTACTAACTTTCTAATTCTGATGGAAAAGCTTTAGGATATAATCCTTTTTAGTGACAATCAAATGCATTCCTTAAATGGTATTCTCAGTCAACACTAAAAGAGGTGGCGTGGTCTAGAGTAGTTACAGCTGAAGGAGCAAAATCTTAATCTTTCATAGAATCATAGAATCATTA